CCACTAGATCCTCTACCATCGAAAACACTGAAACCGCTGGTCCAGTCGACACTGCAGTTGGATTTACCTGAAGTATTTACCTTTGGATCCTGCAGTACGCCAATATCGACAACGCAAGCCAAGATGGCGACCCCCCACACAACAACAGAGCGGGACAGGTCATGGCGTCCAGAGCCAAGATCACTCCTACCCGTCTACACTATTTAACTTCATCAACGAGGCCTCAATGGATGTGATCACGACGAAGCTGAGTAGTGCCCTCATGTTACCAGCTCTACAGCAGAAATTCAGGGAGTCATTTGTGAGTGTTGCAAAGGAAGCGCTGAAGGACATCATTCAGGATGTTGTAGCCCCCCTCAAGCAGGAGATACAGGAGCTGAGAGACGAACTGCAGCTCAAGACCGACGAGTTAGAGCAGTATAGTCGGAGGAACTCTGTGAGGATCGCAGGAATCAAGGAGCCTGACTGGGGACGGGAGGAAGAAGACATTGACCAGGTTGTACTAGATGTGCTGAAGGATGTACACCCGGATATCTCACCATCAGACATCGACAGGTGCCATAGAGTGGGGAAGAGACAGCGAGGTCAGAACAGGAGTGTAGTGGTGAAGCTTGTGAGCTACTGGGACCGCAACAAGGTGATCAAGAACAAGTCCAAACTCAAAGGTAAACGAGACGGTATCTATATCAACGAGGATCTGACTAAGCACAGGAATCACTTGTTCAAGTTGGCCAGAGACCTGAGGAAGGATCAGAAGATATATTCAACCTGGACATATGATGGGAGAGTGTACATCTGTGAACAGTGTGAAGGAGCTATTCGTGTGATTCAGCGTGAGTCGGACCTGGACAAGTTCAGGCGACACTAGCGACTATCTTGTGTTCTCACATTCATGTTTGCATTGTATGTGTGTAGAAATTCAGACGTATGTAAGTACGTAAAATATTTCTATTTATGAATTGTATCTAGTATATCAACACACAATAGTTTATCTCGATACTTGTTTATGTTTGCATTATTGCTTGTATATACTATTCTTTATCTCACCTTTGGTTTTTATATACCACAAACTATATCTCCGTGTATTTCTGTATCCATCACTGAATCACTGTATATATTCTTTGTTCATCTATCTTCTTTAGAACCTTTGAGAGATCCTGCATTGCCATGCCATCATGTACAACTATATTCATTGACACGCCTGCAAATAACCCGATCTAGTATCCGCACATGTACCATCTATCAACACGAAGTAAACAACCCATATGGGTAATGACGTAACGCAATACCGTGCGGCGATCGGGTTGTTCAGACATCTCAAATGCTCTAGAAATCTCAAGAAATGTTTCAAAATCAGTATCCTACTTGTTAACAAAAATGTACTTTTCAGTTTACTACGTGTTGAAGCAGACGCTATGTGCAATTTACTATTGTTAGAATTGAAAGCTTGCTGTGCGCTTACGTTTCTGTGTCTGCTTCAATCACAAGTTACAAATCTCAACATAACCTTGATCATTCTATTGTTACTTCAGCTTGCTGGTGACGTAGAGCCTAACCCAGGTCCTATTGTTCAGAAAGACAACATGTTGTCGATTGTTCACTTGAATGCACGAAGTATACGTAATAAGCAATCTTATCTGTCCGAGTTTTTATCTGAATATGACATAGTATGTTTCTCTGAGACCCATCTAGATATTAGTGTTGATAATGAAACCTTAGCTTGGGAAAATTTTCACGACCCGATACGAAGAGACAGAAATTCTTTCGGGGGTGGTGTTATGATGTATATCTCTAAGAATCTAAGCTTTGATAGAATTTACAATCTAGAAAACATATTTGATGAGTCCATTTGGGTTAAATTATCGCTTCCACAAAAACCACTCATATTATGTACCGTTTATAGACCTGAAAGTAATACATCTAATTTTTGGGGAAGATTCGATAATAATATCGAAGGTGCTTTAGATATTTCAAGTAAAGTTACTATTGTTGGTGATTTGAATGAAAATCTACTTTCTGTATCTAAACTTAATTTAACAGATATCCTAAACAGAAAAAACTTATGTAACGTTATAACAGAACCTACTAGGGTGACGAGGACAACCAGCACACTACTAGATCCAATTATAGTCAGTGATGATGTTGAGGTTGTAGAAAGTGGTGTTATCGATTTTGACAGAACTATAAGTGATCACAAAGGCACGTTTGTCAGCCTAGATGTGCATGTGTCAACTAAGATTGCATATCCTAGAAAGGTCTGGTGTTACAAAGATGGTGACTATGAGAAGCTGAACGCACTTATTAGCAATACTGATTGGTTGTCATTGTTTAGTGACTGTTCTAATATTGATGATACTTGCTGTGCATTTTATGAACGTTTTAATGATTATACCAAACAATGTATTCCTTCTAGAATTGTGATGATAAGACCTAATGACAAACCATGGTATGATTCAAATATTAGACGTGAAAGTAGGAAACGGGATCGACTACGGAAAAGAGCCATCAGAACACAGAAAGAGTCTGATATTTTGAAGTACAAAAAACAACGAAATAAAGTTAATAACATGAAATTAATGTTATGCAAAAGAACATTTTTATTCTAATCTTGATGAGTTTTTATTCGAACTTTATGGAGAAAATAAATCATCATATTGGAAAATATTACGCAGTTTGATCAAGACGTCAGGTTCCGCTTCTACTATTCCCGCTCTAAAAAGAAGTGTTATTGAGGAAAGTCCATCAGCTTATTCAGATGTAGATAAAGCCAACATGTTAAATCAATATTTCGAATCTGTAGCTAACCTGACTGGTGCAGATAACAAATCTATACCACACTTTGACAGGCGCACGGATGCCGTTATAGATAACATTATAATAGAAGTTAATGAGATCTCCGACATAATTAAATGTCTACCTCTCAAGAAAGCTGCTGGACCAGACCAGATTAGTCATCAGTTACTTAGAAAAACGGTCGAGTCTATAAGCCCAGTACTGTGCATATTATTTAACATGTCACTTAATTTATCAGCATATCCTAGCCAATGGAAATATGCAAATGTTATGCCCCCTATTCAAGAAGGGTGATCACTCAATTGTATCAAATTATCGCCCTATTTCACTTATAAGTTGTGTTGGGAAGTTGTTTGAAAGAGTTGTATTTAAACATATTTACAATTACTTCATTTCCAATGATTTGTTATATAAATATCAATGTGGATTCCGGAGAGGCCACTCTACTGTACAACAACTTGTTGAAATTTATAACCAAATCTGTATATCACTAGATAACAAAGAACACTATTGTATGGTCTTTTGCGATGTATCTAAGGCCTTTGATAGAGTTTGGCATAGAGGGCCTATGCTTAAATTGGAGAGGTACGGAGTAAGTGGAAAGTTACTTGATTGGTTTGATAGTTATGTAAGTGGTCGCAATCAATCAGTTTCTGTTCACGGCTCATTATCTAAGCCTTTGGTTTTAAAAGCAGGAGTTCCACAGGGATCAGTTTTAGGTCCCTTTCTTTTCATTGTGTATGTAAATGAGATAGCAGATAAACTACATTGTATAACTCGGCTTTTCGCTGACGACACGTCGCTGGGAGCCTTGTCAAAGGAAAAGCAGTTGATGGAAAGAATAATGAAAGAAAATCTACAAATATTATGTAATTGGGCAAAGGACTGGCTAATTTCTTATAATCCGGACAAAACGGAAGCTATGCTATTTACGACGAAAGATGGCCAAACAGACATTAATTTGAAATTTGACAATTGTCATTTAAAACCAGTTGACATTTGGGACTAACATTTTCATGTAATGGGGGTTGGCACCATCATATTGAAAGTATTGTTAAAAAGACTTCTAAAATGATTGGAGCATTTCGAAAGTTAAAGTTTCTCCTGAATAGAACAACATTGTCAAGCATATATACTGTATTCATAAGACCACATTTCGAGTACGCATCTAAAGTATCGGACGGGTGTTCTATTGAAGAATCTAATAGATTAGAAAAGTTACAACTTGAAGCGGCTCGTATAGTTACTGGTCTGCAGAGATATGCTTCTTCTAGATCATTATACTTTGAAACGGGATGGGATTTACTATCTGAGAGAAGAAGGGTGAAAAAATTATCGTTATTTTATAAGATACATACAGGCCTTGCTCCAAGTTTTCTTTATGATTTACTCCCTCCTGTAGTAGGTAGTCGAACAAATTATGAATTAAGAAACTCCAGTAATTACACTCAACCCTGTACAAGACTACGATATTCGACTCTATCCTTTTTTTCCATCAACAATTAAACTGTGGAATAACATCCCCTTAGCTATCAGAAACTGTAAATCTGTTGTGTCTTTTAAAACTGCAGTTCATGTGAAACAAAAATGTGCACCCGTATATTTCTCATATGGGAAAAGGAAACTAAATGTTTTGCATACCAGATTAAGATATATGACAAGTACACTTAATTATGATTTATTCAGAATTAATGTTAGAAATGATGCACTTTGTCAGTGTGGCCATAATTGTGAAAATGCTTTTCATTATTTTCTTGAATGTCCATTATATATAATTCAAAGAGAACAAATGTTAACCTCTTTAGAAAATATAGTGAATAATAGAGCATGTATTGATATTAATCTCATCTTAAATGGCAATGCAGGTCTCTCGCTTAGCGAAAATCAGAATGTTTTTAAAAGTGTACATATCTACATCCATAACTCTAAACGATTTAAATAACTCTGTCTGTACATATCTATACCCTTTGTCTGCCTCTTGTTGAACTTTTTTGTAATATACACTTGTAACTATGTGGAGAGGGCTTATTTAAGTTGGATAACTTGTGCCCAATCCGTTTCTTAATTGAATAAAATATATTCAATCAAAAAAAACCTGGTGGGTAAAGTGTTCACCTGGTGGTTAAAGTGTTTGCTCATGACATCGAAGACCCAGGTAAATGCAGCGTAAAGTTATGATCACTGACATTGGAGAGAAACACGTTAGGTCACATTTTTTTACAAAGGGAAAAAATATTTTATTAGTCATATATAGCGTGTAAATGACAGGGGTGTGAGCTCGGTGCACGATCATTATTTGACAGACAACGAAATTGTAACGAGTCCAAGTCTATAGTTCTTTACAAATGATCTCCTGCACACTAAGGACTGGATTTCATAACTGGATTTCATATAATGTTCTAGTGCTGGAATTCACACCACAACGTTCGCTTGTCCACGAAGCAAAAGGTGGACATCCTGTCATGGTAGGGACTTAGTCTTTGAGATCACCCTTCTTCTTGCTTCCTAAACGCTGAACATTTTAAACGATGCAATAATCTTCCCTAACAAATAAAGACTTGGTTATAAAATAATCTAACTTCACTTAAAATAGTTTTGTACAAAAATAATTCGATGTAAATATATTCGGATCTTCTTCAACCTTCAACAACAGGTGCTGCTTCAGCTTATGTTCATTGTAGTTTGGACGGTATTTTGTGATGATGTATGTTGTAGGTGATTTAATTACATTTTCAATTTACTGAGGAGGCCTGATGGAAAACAAGCTAAATCACAAAGAGTCATTAGCATCAGCAGTGACTACCTGTAACCTGAGTCCAGTGATATTTATGTGTAGTAACGGCTATATCCCACTCCGAATATACACAGTACTGCTAGTATCCATGGTGATCCTTCTTTTATCCCTCCTGCTCCACTGGCCGGACAGCTGGGCTTCTCCTCTTCCTCCTCCTCCCCCGTGTACTCCCAGTTCCCACACCGGGGGAAGTGTTTAGGGGGTCGGGGCATCTGGTTCAGCTCCCCCACCTGTACGATGAGAGCCATCCCGATTGCCACGTGGAAGTCGATGTGACAGTGCAGCAGCCAGAAACCTGAATAACAGAAATAGAGAATGACACGTGGAAGTCGATGTGGCAGTGCATTAGCCAGAAACCTGAATACCAGAAATAGAGATTGACATGTGGATGTCGATGTCGCAGTGCAACAGCCAGAAACCTGAATAACAGAAATAGAGAATGACACGTGGAAGTCGATGTGGCAGTGCAACAGCCAGAAACCTGAATAACAGAAATAGAGAATGACACATAGAAGTCGATGTCGCAGTGCAACAGCCAGAAACCTGAATAACAGAAATAGAGAATGACACGTAGAAGTCGATGTCGCAGTGCAACAGCCAGAAACCTGAATAACAGGAATAAAGAATGACACGTAGAAGTCGATGTCGCAGTGCAACAGCCAGAAACCTGAATAACAGAAATAGAGAATGACACGTACAAGTCGATGTCGCAGTGCATCAGCCAGAAACCTGAATAACAGAAATAGAGAATGACACGTGGAAGGCGATGTCGCAGTGCAGCAGCCAGAAACCTGAATAACAGGAATAGAGAATGACATGTAGAAGTCGATGTCGCAGTGCAACAGCCAGAAACCTGAATAACAGAAATAAAGATTGACACGTGGATGTCGATGTGACAGTGCAGCAGCCAGAAACCTGAATAACAGAAATAGAGAATGACACGTGGAAGTCGATGTGGCAGTGCAGCAGCCAGAAACCTGAATAACAGAAATAGAGAATGACACGTGGAAGTCGATGTGGCAGTGCAACAGCCAGAAACCTGAATAACAGAAATAGAGACTGACACGTGGAAGTCGATGTGACAGTGCAGCAGCCAGAAACCTGAATACCAGAAATAGAGAATGACACGTGGAAGTCGATGTGGCAGTGCAGCAGCCAGAAACCTGAATAACAGAAATAGAGAATGACACGTGGAAGTCGATGTCGCAGTGCAGCAGCCAGAAACCTGAATAACAGAAATAGAGAATGACACGTGGAAGTCGATGTGGCAGTGCAACAGCCAGAAACCTGAATAACAGAAATATGAGAATGACACGTAGAAGTCGATGTCGCAGTGCAGCAGCCAGAAACCTGAATACCAGAAATAGAGAATGACACGTGGAAGTCGATGTGGCAGTGCAGCAGCCAGAAACCTGAATAACAGAAATAGAGATTGACACGTGGATGTCGATGTGGCAGTGCAGCAGCCAGAAACCTGAAAAACAGAAATAGAGAATGACACGTGGAAGTCGATGTGGCAGTGCAGCAGCCAGAAACCTGAATACCAGAAATAGAGAATGACACGTGGAAGTCGATGTGGCAGTGCAGCAGCCAGAAACCTGAATAACAGAAATAGAGATTGACACGTGGATGTCGATGTGACAGTGCAGCAGCCAGAAACCTGAATAACAGAAATAGAGAATGACACGTGGAAGTCGATGTGGCAGTGCAGCAGCCAGAAACCTGAATAACAGAAATAGAGATTGACACGTGGATGTCGATGTGACAGTGCAGCAGCCAGAAACCTGAATAACAGAAATAGAGAATGACACGTGGAAGTCGGTGTGGCAGCGCATCAGCCAGAAACCTGAATAACAGAAATAGAGATTGACACGTGGAAGTCGATGTGGCAGTGCAGCAGCCAGAAACCTGAATAACAGAAATAGAGATTGACACGTGAAAGTCGGTGTGGCAGCGCAGCAGCCAGAAACCTGAATAACAGAAATAGAGATTGACACGTGGATGTCGATGTGGCAGTGGAGCAGCCAGAAACCTGAATAACAGAAATAGAGACTGACACGTGGAAGTCGGTGTGACAGTGCAGCAGCCAGAAACCTGAATAACAGAAATAGAGAATGACACGTGAAAGTCGATGTGGCAGTGCAGCAGCCAGAAACCTGAATAACAGAAATAGAGAATGACACGTAGAAGTCGATGTCGCAGTGCAGCAGCCAGAAACCTGAATACCAGAAATAGAGAATGACATGTGGAAGTAAATGTAGCAGTGCAGCAGCCAGAAACCTGAATAACAGAAATAGAGATTGACACGTGGATGTCGATGTGGCAGTGCAGCAGCCAGATACCTGAATAACAGAAATAGAGAATGACACGTGGAAGTCGATGTGGCAGTGCAGCAGCCAGAAACCTGAATACCAGAAATAGAGAATGACACGTGGAAGTCGATGTGGCAGTGCAGCAGCCAGAAACCTGAATAACAGAAATAGAGATTGACACGTGGATGTCGATGTGGCAGTGGAGCAGCCAGAAACCTGAATAACAGAAATAGAGACTGACACGTGGAAGTCGGTGTGACAGTGCAGCAGCCAGAAACCTGAATAACAGAAATAGAGAATGACACGTGGAAGTCGATGTGGCAGTGCAGCAGCCAGAAACCTGAAAAACAGAAATAGAGAATGACACGTGGAAGTCGATGTGGCAGTGCAGCAGCCAGAAACCTGAATACCAGAAATAGAGAATGACACGTAGAAGTCGATGTGGCAGTGCAGCAACCAGAAACCTGGATAACAGAAATAGAGATTGACACGTGGATGTCGATGTGGCAGTGCATCAGCCAGAAACCTGAATACCAGAAATAGAGAATGACACGTGCCCAGATACAACCACGTTCCGGCATCAGCACCATGGGTCATGTATCAGTGCTGTCAGCTTGTAAAATATTGAGTATGTATCCTAGATCTTGACGATAAACACTGATTTTCCAGAAAAAAACACGATTTATCTGCTGTTATTGGTGGACTACCTACCTCGTATATCACCACCCATTCTTACGGTCATGGACCACCAGCTATGATTATTTCCAATCATTCTTATGATCGTGGATAATCTACCCGTATTTTCTCCAATCATTCTACCACCTACCCGGATTATCTGTAATCATTCTAAGCTCAGGGACCACCTATCCAGATTATCTGTAATCATTCTATCCCCATGGATCACCTTTCAGGATTATTTGCAGTCATTCTTATGCTCGTGGATCACCTACCCGGATTATCTGCTTGAAACCTGATGACAGTGTAGCCTCCATCAGGAACCGTGACGGTGTCTTTAGCTATAGGTGTGTCTAGATTCCTTTCAATCAGACCATCAGCATCCATCTGTTTGATCTCCTCTAGAGAGGTAGATTCGTTGACCTGGTTAGAATAAACACCAAAATGACATCGTGTAGAATAATAGTATGGGGCCTGTAAATCTAACCATTTTGTCAATCCTCTTTACTGAAAACTGACCTGAAGTTCGTAATTCATCCTTTCTTGTGTAAAAACACATTCATTTGGGATGTCTGCTTTATGTTCGTCACCCTTAGCAATATGACGTATGTCTTTAAACATTATTTCTCGACCAGACAATCAACTGATCGATACAACGAGCAACGATCAAAGTTTCAGAGATCTGGCATGCAGCCAACAGCTTCAAGAACTGGCATCTGGAACTGCTCATTTGTGACGTCATTCCGACTTTACTTCACAATATGATTTGAATGACGTCATCAGGACTGTTTGTACGTATTAATACGCAGCGAATTTCCGGGAATCGAATACCATCACGTTTTTCAACCAACCAGATTAAAGAACACAGTGACTTTTGGTTAACAATCCAGGTTAATCTTTACTGTAAAACAGGACAATCTTAGCCAGCTGCCTGAAGTTCGAAATTTACCCTTTCCAGTGTGAAAACACAATTTATACGTTTGGGATGTTTACTTGATGCTCGCCACCCTTAGCAATCGTCGAGCTATATGACGGATGTCTGTACATATTATTTCTGGACCAGACAATCAACTGATCGATACAACGAGCAACGACGCACAGCATCAGAGATATGGCAGTCAGTCAACAGCTTCAAGTCACCGTGCCACACGACTCTTTCCAACATGTCACTTTACGTCCTCCAGAGGTTGCTAGGGACACATCCAAATCCTTGAATCCCAATAGGTATTTTGAAAGCGTGATTAACCCTAATTAAAGTCGTAATATGTTTCGGGAGATTAATATGCGAATATCTGTTAAGTACCATTTATCTTACAATGGGTTGGTTCAATACATATCTACCGAGTGAAGGCATAACAATACCATCATGAGTGACTAACCGCTAACTACGTACAATCATGTAAAGTGCGCGCCTCCACAAATTAACCTACAATTACATCCTTGGATTATCAAAGCAAGACGATGATGCAAACTAGATACATTTTAAAGAAATATACATATACACTTTAAACTATAACGTTTCTACTCTTACGTAGGCCATTCCACTGAATCAATGAATAATAAAATGTGGAATGTTGTCCTCCATACTCTGACAATGGGTCATCACCATGGAGTAGCCAATCAAACCTGAAATTCGATCTCCAAATGTTTGTTACCTATTTCTCTCAAACGGATGTATAAGAAATTGTATTCTTAAACTAAGCAACACCATTTTAAAACAACGTCCCCCAAGGGATGAGGATGGTGTCGTTGCAGTTAACGTATTTGAGAGGTATTTAGAAGTTGGAGCCGTAAGGATGGATGAGCATCGTCTTCATGATAGTGAGAGCGACGTGTAGGTGCTGACACCGTTATCAAACAGGTGATGAACAGAATAAACATGGAGAGGCATATATAAAGTGTGAGGAAGTGTTTATGCACTACAGTGGGATGACAGCGAACTGTTCGTAATATTTTTATCTATTGCAATCCAGTTAGATTAACATCTAGTCTCTCTGAAATGAATATATCACACAGAATCGGTTCCTATATTATATTCAAAAATATAGTGAAAAGGAACCCAGTCCATTTACAAAGGTGTCATCAAGTAGAAACGATGTGCGACTAGGATGATTTTGTCATCTTCAATGAACTTTGCTCGTGCTATCAACCATTAGTCTGCATCACCGTGACTTGATGCCTCGACTTTCGTTTACCTTTATGCTATGCTAGTGAGTTGATGAGCTGGGGATCTTTACTTGCCACATATTCTAGACTTCCATGGGCTTTCTTGGATATATCTGTGTCAGTGTCTGTATGACAGACTACAATCCAGTGTCCAAATATACGTAAGAAACGTCAATCTAATGACTATAGTCAGTATCGATTTAGAATTATGACTCACCCTGTCCATGGCCACAACCCGGAAGTGGTGTCCGTGTAGATGTATCGGATGGTTGGCGTTGAAGGTGACGCCCTCATCAATGAGCAACATCTCCACCGTGTCGTCCAGGTCCACCTTGATGAGGTGGATGCACTCACAGTACTCATGGCTGCAGTTCCTGGTGTTGTGGGGGCCGCAGAACATGTCCTACGGAGAGAAGGAATCTGGGCTAGGACGGTCCAATGTCTGCAAGACCTTGTGTATTGATAATAATCTTGTTTATTTGCAGCATGGAGTCTGTAGGATGGTATTAAGAGCAGAACGTGTTATAGGCCTTCTGTATCGATCATAATCTTGTATATTTGTGGTATAGAGACAGCAAGATGTATATTTTCTTCAGGGATAAAAGATTTTTACGTTGTTAATTGTTTCGGAATTTGAACAGATGCAATGCACCTTGAAGATGATGTAGATGATATACTATTTTACATCCCCCATTCATGAAGAATACTTGATTAAAGAGACAACTTATCAATTTCAACCAAAAGTCGAATAAACCTTTTCCAAGAAGAAAACATTAATTCATTTGGCCAGCCCAGTGGGATTTATTGTTGGAAGTAGTCAAATGCAGACTTTGTTCTTTGTTCAAGCAAAAAACGTCTGTCAGATACAAAAGTCTGTTCCTAATGGTAGAAATACATGCTGGGGGTCCAAGAATAAAATGATAAGTTTATGAGATATGCTGGTTTTTCTTGAAATAAACGTGAGGAGAAAGACGTCTTATAGAGTATTTTGTCTTAAAAATTTACATGATCCCCTAAAATCGTTGTTGTTTTAAAGACAGAAGAAATCCTGTCAGCCTTTTTCATCAAACAGGACAGGAATATAACTGCAGGACAAATACTAAATATACACCAAGTTTTGATAGTGACAAAAACGACTGAAATGAGAAATGCATATTTGACGGTGATATATTTGATACGGGCATCGTAGTGATGTTCGGAGCGTTTCGGCGATTGTTTTAGCCCTGTAACGTGTGTAAATGTTGGTCAAAATCAATTTTCAAGTGTATACTTTCTTGTGCCCATCAGTTTACTTCAGGAATGAGTGAGTGAGTTTAGTTTTACGCCGTACTCAGCAATATTCCAGCTATATGGCGGCGGTCTGTAAATAATCGAGTCTTGACCAGATAATCCAGTGATGAAAAGCATGAGCATCGATCTGCGCAGTTGGGAACCGATGGTATGTGTCAACCAAGTCAGCGAGCCTGACCACCCGATCCCGTTAGTCGCCTCTTACGACAAGCATGGGTTACTGAAGATCAATTCTAACCCGGACCTTCACGGGTTTTTACTTCAGGAACTCACCTTGGGTATGTCAGCAAACTGAGACAGGGGTGGTGACGGAGGTTGAACATTACTGATATGATTCAGCTGTGGTAAATACAGTCTTTTATTCAGGTTAACGGCAGCCAAGGGATAGAACTCTTCGTGGTGGAAAACATAGTTGTCTATCTTGTTGAAGTCCATGGCAATGTAAAACTTCTTATCGGGCACCTGCTTGAAGTGCGGCGGATCTGCCAGGGTGGTGTTCAACCAGGCCACGGGGGTCATGTCAGGGGTACCCTTCTTGTTCCAGGGGTTCAACAGCTGAAGCATTTAGTAGTCAATAAAATTACAGCTTGAAAACGTATATGTATAAGTAGAACTGAACAATATACGTAATAAAGGCTTTTACATCGGGCAGCATGGCGGAGGAAATTGTACTCATGTGGGAATTGGAATCCGGGCCTTAGGCGAGACAAGCAAACCATTTGACCAGCAGGCTACCTGACCACCCCATAACAGACCTACCCGATCTAATTTTGTCGCCTCTTCAGCTGACAAATGTTGATGTGCTGTGCACCTTATCACATTCCCTTCATGTCGGGTAGAAGAATGTGCCTCTCAGTTCACAGACATAAGAAAACATTTCGGGCGTGTAAAAACATTGGAAGAGATACACTTGAGTAATACAAGTCATCAGAGAATATGTAGATATTTTTCGATGTCACTGCTGCAGAAGCTTTTCACTGCATTAAAGTCGTATACGTTTCGGCACAGTAGTCAGAGATTGATATTATGAACGTCATCGACTACGACAAAACAAGTCACAAAATCTGACCACCAAATCCATTAAATCTCTTCTTACCATTTACCCGAGAAGATTCGGGTTAGAATAGGTCTTCAGCAACCCATGCTTGCCCCAAATGGCGACTATGCTTGTCGTAAGAGGCGACTAACGGGATCGGGTGGTCAGGCTCGCTGACTTGGTTGACACAAGTAGTAGACAGGATAGGGGTACGGGATCAGGGTAATCTAAAGCTTCATTTAATAGATGAAGCCTTAGTCAGACCCTTCCCATTACCATCTACTATAAAGCTTTATTTCATAAAATAAGACTTTAGTCGGGGACGCTACTATAGCGGACGTTGGTATCTTGCCTCTATGTCGTGTTGGTAGGAGGTAGCATTGTGCCATACGGTACAATCAATAATTCTTCTCTCACAAACCCCCTCCCTGGCCCATCTCTCAAGTAGTACAAGTTAGGTTCGTCGGCTTTGATGTCTACCTTATCTATGACACTATGCCATGTTTACCTCGACGAAACAGTTTAATGTAAATCGTCTGTTATATTTTTGGTGTTTGTAATAAACGCTTGCCGGGCTTTTTGTACTCCCTGTTCTATATACTTTTTTTTCTCATCTTCACTGATAGCAGTACTTTTACGAGACTTGGACTGAATATCTTGTTTCATTTTGTTATATTTTGTGAGTTCGGATAGGATCAAACGAAACTCCTCCTCTGAGATTTTGTTGTCAGTGAGTGCCGTGGAAATAAGATCGCTTATGGTGTTAAGCTTTGCTTCAGCTAGAACCCCGATCTCATTATGCTTCAATGCTTTACGATGCAGTCTGCGGGATACAAGCTTAAGCCCTAACCCCAACACCCCTGTCACCCCAGCTGTTATTTCGAGCCCCATCACTATAGGTGCGGCCACGATGGTAGCTAACAACCCAACACCTGCCACCCCTAGGCCCATGCTAGTTGCCATCAGGGCAGTGTCAGCCCCGTCCACGGCATTGAAAGCTCTATGGTATTTTTTATATAGAGATTTACGCTTGTCACGGTCTTGTTCTAGTTGACGTCTTACATCACATAACTGTCTCAAGCGAAACCCGTCTACGGTTTCCAGGGTCTTCACTACTTCATCTATGCCTGGGTACAGTCCCATCCTATAATATATATTACTAAAGATATTTTAATTGGGTTTTCAGTTAATAGACGATCTAACGTTCTGGTACTAGTTCAGGGATATAGTTCAATCCCGTAATGTATTTTAATTGGGTTTTATTTAACCTTCGATTAATGTACTTGAAGCCGATAATACTTAGATTAACGTATGTGTAAAAAAACAGGGTCTCAGCTCTACGTCCATTAAGGAGACGAACCCCATCAAGGGTTGCTAAAGGTTTGTTTCCCGATACCTTAATAATACAACAACGTTGGTTATTACACCTGGCTTCCCAACCTATCAGCATATCATCTATAATTTTAATATACCTTTCAGTCAAACTTATATCTCCGAGATAGACGTCTATGAGGAATGTGAAGTTTTCATAATATTTCTAAAGACCTCTTGGGGCTTAAGTAAGTTGAATGATGTCTTCACTTTCTCCTTGGAAGTTACCATGTTGCCCGAGTGGTTTGGTATTGGGGTGATATTTATATTATTATATTCATAAACTAACTCTCCTGCTGCTAATACCTTGTGGCGGTGCGGAACGAACGCTCCTATAATTATGCCGTTGTTCTTAATCTCGGGGACAAAACCATCTTGTTTCAAGGTGATATAAGGTGCGGTGAGGGTTAAGTTGACTAACCATTCAGGCTCTTTAAAATCTGATAACGACACCCGCCTATACACGTTGTCTTTGAAGTGTAGGATGTATAAGGTGTCTTCCTCACCAGGTTGATCGAATCCTCCGTCCCCTAAATCGCTAAGTGTAGTGTTGGGGCGAATCCAAGACATTGCTATAATATTATTACGATATAATTTCCAACTGGTTTTCTGATAATAGTTCAGGGGTGCACTTCACCCCCATGAAGTGTATGTTGTCGGGTAGGAAGATCTTGGTTAGTGATATAGTGTCTTCCACGATCACGGTGACACCCTGCAGACTGGTTTTGGAGTCGACACCCACCCGCACGCAAACGCTGCAAACGCGATACTGTTGTTGTTTCCCCACCGAGTTTGACCCCTTCACGATCTCTACATCATCCCGCCGATGGTTCCCTAGGTAGACTTGGATGACCAGTGTTGAGTTCGCCGGTAGACTCTCCAGGATCCTGACCACACCTTCGAATTCAGACACCAACTGCAATACCACGCTTTGCATCCCCGCTTTACTCGATAGCATGTGGGCTGCCATACTGGCGAGTGGGCTGATGACTACGCTTACGCCTCTGAGTCGGGATGTAAGCCACGAGCAGGGTTCCGTTGTTCACGACTTTGTTTAGGTGGTTGTCTTTATTATCCGTGAACACGTAGGGGAGCCGAGCCTAATATTGAGAAACCAGTCGACTTTACCCGGTAATAACACCCACTTGTCATCATCGGTGAAAACGAAGCGATATGGTTTGTTTCGGCGACGGTAGTGCTCTCAACATCGGTTAAGTCGAACAGTTTGCCCCCGTATGGGTATATCATCCAGTTATCATCCCCGTGGTGACAAGGGTGTACTTAGTGTTGACTGCCGCCTTTGAGGTATCTACTATATCACTTAGGTTGCTAGTACCACCGAAACTTCAACGCTTATATAAATGCTGTTTTAAGTTGCAAGGCATTACACTTTACCATCTACTCCGGGTCGTCGAATCCGCGGTGTCCCCGAGGTAGATCGAGATCCCCACATTGGTGCATTTTTCAACTTCATTCCGGGCCTTGTGCGCTGGTCATTTTATGTGCAGCGCTTACGCTGAGGTATCCTATATTCACGAGATTATGATTTATATCTAACACCGATATTATCAGCTCAGGGATGTTGTCCTGGGTTAACCTCTTATATTGCCACGTTGAAAACGACTCGGTTCTACCGCCGTTGTATTTCTCCGCTTTAACCGCACTGCTCTCAGTATAGTGGAAGGGTGGCCTCCTTGAATGTTGTCCGCTTGTGCTAACCTGGTTGAGATGAATGCACAGCCTCGGTACGGTACTAGGTCGGGTAACTTCGTGCCTGTGGCGGTAGTCGCTTGGTTTTATCTCTTCAGGCTGTATACCGAGTGTCCTCGCCAGTGGTCGACCGAGCCTCAAGGAGTTTCTTCCGTTGTTGATTAACACCACTGTACCGCTTGAGTCGCTCATCTTGAGTTCGGCTCCCAATGGTTTGAATACCTCGTCGCTTAGAGAGCACACGCTGTAGTAACCATCAATTATCTTGTTGCTAGCCACCTACTTAACAGTTTATTGTTGCTAGCGCTGATGTTAGTCCATCGTGGTAGGTAGGTTATATCGCATAGTGCTACTTCGAAGTTGACCCGACGTGTTATCGATCGCTATGCCAGCTGAACGGCCTCGCCGCCGTTATTCCTGGAAGTGTTATGTACATGTTATATAAACTCATTATATAATAGTTTTAAAACATGAAGATCGTGGTCGCTGATGGATTGTATTTCGACGCCCAGTTCATAGATGTATTCGATAAGTATAAGTTTTCGTGACTAACGCTAAGACAGTGCACGCTTTGGTTCAACAACCCGATGCAGTTCTGGCAGAATCAACTCAACTTCGCCGTGTGGTGCGCCACAACGGGTGTGGTGTATCCGACACTCGGCGTGGACCGCTGAGTCAGTCTGTGTTCACGCTTCACGGTACTACCAGGTCAGGCGATCCTCAAAGAGATCAGCTTCACCTCACAGGAAAAAAGCGCGGAATGCAGTAAACAACCAGTACGATAGACGGGCCTACGAACGTATTTGCAACGAATTCGAATCGACACTAAAACGGATTGGCGCTTTGCCGGACCGAACCACGGATTGGGTATTCCTATCGCTCACAACATGCCTCTCGTGGAAGCCAGCCAGAAGTTGCAAGATTGGGGATACAAGTCGTATCATCATATCACAACAAACGAGTGGGATGACCGCTACATGGCATTCGACGACAGCAAGGATTACCGAGTTTGAGGTTCGAGCAGGGGGTGACTGGAAAAATTCATGTTGGAATCGAAGGGTATACTCGCGTCGGCACCGAACGCTTGAATGACTCGATTCGAACGCACGTGTGGGCACTGTTGCGCGCAGACGCAAACGCTGCTCAATATACTAGGTAAGGGACTGCTTACGACGCCAGAAACAGTTCGTCAACGTTGAGGATGCTATCAATGCTCCAGTTGATCTCCCGAAAGTGCCATCAAACGCTACCAAGACGTGTTGGAATATGCCAGGTCGAAAAGTCGACTACGGTTCGACGTGGGACTGTACATGGCTCCGAGCGATATGCAACTGAGAGTAAAGTGGTGGGCTACAACAACGAAATAATTGTAGCCACGGCGGACCAAAAGTTACGCCAACCTCGATGTCAACGCCCCCACGCCCCACCACCCACGACCGGGT